CTCTGCCTTGTGTGCCTCACTGAGCAGGAAGGAGGAGAGAGAAAAAAGCTCTGGAAAGGCTTTGGAAGCCTTGGGAGCAGGGGCGTGGGGGGCTGGTGCTGGCAGCTGGACAGAGCTGCTCAGCAGAGCCAGGCAAGTGCAGGGATGCCTCAGGGACAGCCAGGCTCAGCAGCTCCCCAATTTTCCAGCAGCTCAGGGGCCATCAGGGCTGCAGGAGGAGAGCTGTGGTGCCCTGAGCTGCCCACACACAGCTGGAATGGGAGGGCAGCTCAGGGATGCTGCAGGGAGTTGAAGTTTTTTACAGAAAGAGTGATAAATTTCTGGAATGGCTGCCCAGGGAGGTGCTGAAGTCCCCATCCCTGGGTGTGTTTAACAAAGCCTGGATGTGGCACTGGGTGCCAAGGTTTAGCTGAGGTGCTGGGGCTGGGTTGGACTTGATGATCTTAAAGGTCTCTTCCAACCCAGTGATTCTGTGAAAGTCCTGGGAGTGGTGCTGGAGCTGGGAGCTGCTGGGTACCAGACCCTGGGGACAAACTGAGGGATCTGCTGGGCTGGCAGAGAGGGAGGAGAGGCTTCTTTGAAACACACAAGCCCTTTTAGCAAAGAGGCACCTGCTTTTTAGGTCAGTGAGCCTCAGCAGGGCTGAAGCAGCTTCCCCCCGGCCAAAGCTCTTCATTCTGGCATGCTCCAGTGGGATGCTGGGCAGGGCAGCCTGATGTGGCCAGCTCAGCTCTGGTGGCAAAGCCCAGCTGGGCAGAGTTTGCAGGTATCTTTGCAAAGCTTGCTTTCCCTTGGGATGGAAAAAGGGAGAACAAGAGAGGCTCGCAATTTCTGGTCATATCCACCCTTCTAAAGCTCCCTTTGTCCTGTCCCAGCCTTTGTTTTTTAAAAAAATTAATTCCAGGGTCATGCTGAACACTTTCCAAAGTGCAGTGCAACCTGCAGGGAGTTTCTGGTGAGGAGTGGTACCTCCCTACTTCCAGCCTCACCTCTCTCCCCCAGCAGGCACCAGATGAAGCAGGAGCTTGCACAGGGTGGCCTGGCACATGTGTGCCTGTTCCAGTGTGGATCCTACCTTCTATCCCAGTGCAGATTACCTTGGCAGGGTGAGTGGGGGCTCCCCACAAAGCTCTGCCATCCTTGTCCCAGCTGTGATGGCCATGGCCAGACTCTGGCCCTTCCTGAGCATTCTGTGGTCCTCCACAAAGACCAGTGGGATCCATCATTTGGAAGCATTTTTGTTGCTCCTGGAGCTGCCCTGATGCAGGGTGGAGAGGGTCTAGACTGCCAGTTTAGAGGCAAGGGAAAAGATTTTCCTGCACCTCTCTCCTTTAGAGACAAGGGGAAAGTGAGATTTTCCTGCACCTCTCATTTGCTCCTCCAGCAGCCCCATGGAGAACTCTGCTTACTGTGTGTGTGTGCAGAGGGAAAACCCCTCACTTACCCCTGGCAGGCAGCAGGAGATCCAGCTCTGCTCTCCCACCAAGGTGCCTCAGGGGTGAGGTGGAAGGAAGAGCTGGAGGGGTGTGTGAGCTCCAGGTGTGTTTAATTCAGAGTTCTTCACTGAATCTGGTAAATTGGCCAACTGCTGTCAGCTGGTGATTCTGGGAAACCCAGCTTTTGTCATATCCATGGCATCAGTGGGCTTGTGAGTGTCATGGATTAGTGGGAGGTTTGGGAAAGCCTCACATTAGCCCAGTGACAGATAAAACCCCACAATAAAGGCCTTGTCATCCAAGGCTTGGAGGAAAATCAGGCTCATTGCTTCTGATTCCTGAACCTGTGAACCCCTGCATGCCTTGGCTCCATCTGGCCATTCTGTTTCTGCAGAGCAATGTCACCCTTGGCCATTACTGCATGTGCTCTGGAAGGAAGGCTGTGATTAAGGTCCCAGCAGCTCTGGATCCTGGCCAGAATGTGATGTAAGGGTGGCACATGGGTACTCCATAACTGCCTGGCCAGGAAATGGGGGATGAGGGGGAAGGCAAGCTCACTGCTTCCTCTCCTGGGTTCTGCCCCTCACCTGCTGGAGGGGCCCTGCCAGTGCTGCCTCCAGCCCCAGCTGTGCCTGCCCTGTCCCTCTTCCCCATGGCTTGGTTCTGTCTGTGCCACGTCAGTGCCCCTTGTCCCTGCAGGGAGGGCTGCCCACTGTGGGGTGGACACCTGCCCTGAAATCCTGCCTGCTGCTCAGCAATGTGATGAGAGCAGCAGAACAAGAAGAGCAGAGGAATCAGCAGAGAGAGAGGCTGAGGGAAACCTGAGGCCCTGCAGGAACCATGGTTATGAAGTGCTCACCTCCATGATGCTGCCCAGAGAATTCTGCTGTGCCAAGGAGCCCAGGAAGGCTGGAGAACAGAGCTCAGCCCTGGGCTGGGCTGGCTGCTCTTCCCCAGGAAGGTTTCTGCACCTGAAGAACATCCTCTAGCTGATGGCTAGGGCGTAGGCTTTTCTGTCAGCACCCCTCTGAACTTATTCCATCAGTCCTGGGAACACGGAGGATGTGTTTTAGAAGGTACATTGTTCACTTTGTAAAGCAGTTTGCCCTTTTTGTCTTCTGGACATCAGTGCCACCTCTTGCCTGCTGCTGCTTGAAGGCTGGCAGGAGCCTGCAGTGACAGCAGGGTGGCCTGGTTAGGGGTGAGGTGTTGCAGGGCTCTGTCAAGGATTAGGGAAATGCAGGTCAGTGAAGGAGCTTGCCAAGATGTGTGGGTGGAGTTCTCAAAGGGGGGGATGGAAAGGATGCCTCTGTAGCCAAGTGTCCCACAGGCAGGGGATCAGTCTTTTACCAGCAGGAGTAAGGGGATTCAGGAATCTGGGTGCTCTGCTCCTCTGTGCTCTCACTGCAGTGCAGCCCCAAGCACCCTGGGAGGGATTCTGAGGACAACATCTTCCTTTGCAGGGTCCTGACCGAAATGAGAATATTTGTGCCTCTGAGAGATGGACTGTGAGGCTTCTGAGGCAGGAGTTTACAATCCTTTAAAAAGCAGAAAAAAACAGTTCCTTGGCCAGAAAGCTGTCACTGTGTCTTTGTTCTTTTCAAGACAGCACAGAAAGTGACAGGTATAGCTCTGTATCTGGTGTGCTCCGCAGTTTTACGCCGTGACCTTTCGGATGTGCATGTGGGTCTGGATTTCTGAATCATAGTTTGATACCCAAAAGCTGGAATTATCCATGATGTGGGATTATTTGAGCTTGTTTTCAGAGGTGTTAATCAAACCTGGCTCTGAATGAAGTCTGTGGGAGAAGACAGGCAGATGCCTCAGTGCTCAGCCCAGATGTTGGTGCGTGAGCAAGATCCTCACCAGCTCCTCGCACAGAGCTGGGATTTGCAGAGCAGAAAGGCTCATCCTGCAAATTCATGTGGTCAAGGGGATTCCTGTGGTACTGCAGGGACTGCTTGAGAAGAGACAATGTGTCTGTGATCCCACCTGTTCTAGATAATTTGCAAAAATGCTTTTTATTTAATAATTTGGGGAAAAATCTCTGACTTCTGTAAGGTCACTGTCAACAGGACTTGTGCCCACTCCCTAATCAATCAATAGATTTCAATGCCATCTGGTTTACCCCAAAAATCTTGTCTCCCAATCTATTTAAGACCTGTTGTGAGAATGTTTCCTGAGAATGTTTCCTGTCCTTGGTGTGTACAAGACTCCTTCCTGTACTGCTTGTTTACCTGAGGAGAAGAAGCTGTTCTATTGTGTGGCACCACACTGTGCCTCTGCACAGGCTGATCCGAGGCCTCTGGATGTGCCCTGGCTGTGCCCAGCAATGGGTTTGGTTTCTGCAGAGCTTCAGCCACCAACAGCTCCTGCTCCCTTCTATAAAATTCTTGTGTGGGCAACAGTTTTAAGTCTCAGCTTTTCTCTGTTGGACAGGAGGGGAGCAGGAGGTTTGTATGGCATTGTGGTGGCTGGGGATGGTTGGGAATCACAGAATTATTTAGGCTGGAAAAGACCTCTAAGATTGAGTTCTACCTGTGACTGAGCCCTGCTTTGTCAGCCAGACCATGACCTTGAGTGCCACATCCAGTTGTACCTTGGACACCTCCAGGGATAGGGACTGCATTCCATTCCAATGTTTAACACCCCTTTCCACGAAGAACTTCCTCCTGATGTGCAAATTTATGGGAAATTTTTCAGGGAACTGCCCCTTTACCAGTGAATCATGCTCCACTGATGACAGATTTTGTCCCCATATGTCCCTTCCTGAGAACCACCACAAACTCCCAGCTCAGCTGCCATACGGAGGCAAGTGCTCAGGGCTTGTCACGGCTGGCCTGGCCCAACCTTCCAACCTTGGCCTCGAGGTGAGGCTCTCCCTGTGCCCTTTGGAACAGCCTCAGCTTCTGCTGAAACAAAGCTGGCTATTACCAACTAATGAGCAGTGCCTGGACATGGGTGGATTTTATTTTTGTCACCTTTGTATGAGGGAAGTGGGGAACAGCCCTGGAAGTCTTTGCTGGATAGCCACTGTTGGCTAAAATTTATTCCTCATAAATTTGAGCACCCTTTGGTGCTCCCATAGCCTGAACTGCTGCTGGTGGTACAGAAAAGCTCTCAGCAGGCTGGGACAGCAGGAGTTGGATGCAGTTTTTCTTGATTGGAAACATAAATGGCAAGGACAGCAGAAACAGGGGACAAAACATGTAATGGCATTTTGTCCCCTGTAAAACTTGGGCTTGCTCCCATTTTCACAGAACAAATCACAGCACACACCCCTCCAAAAAAAGAGAAAGAGAAAAAAACCCCCAAACCAAAACAAAATTTAAAAAACCCACCAAAAACCAAAACTAAAACAAAAAACCCAAAACAAAACACAAAAAACCACCACCACCAACAAAGAACAACAAAAAACCTCCCCAAAAGAACCCTTACAAAAAAGTTTTGGAGGTGTGGACCCAAGCATTTGGGTGCCAAGGAATTGGGGGAGGTGTTGGCAGTGGCTGGTGAAGGGCTGGAGCTGCAGTGCCCCAGGCTGACGTGTGCCCGTTTCTCCGCCAGGATTACACCATCACCATGTACTTCCAGCAGAGCTGGCGGGACAAACGCCTGGCCTACAACGACCTTCCTCTCAACCTGACCCTGGACAACCGGGTGGCTGACCAGCTGTGGCTGCCTGACACCTACTTCCTGAACGACAAGAAGTCCTTTCTGCACGGCGTGACGGTGAAGAACCGCATGATCCGCCTCCATCCTGACGGGACCGTCCTCTACGGCCTCAGGTGAGTCCAAGGGTTTGCTTTAACGGCTCCTGTCAAAAACCACACCTCATTTGAACTTCTCCTGTCTCTAAAAATATTCTGGCAAGGCAAGGACCCAAAAGATCCTCAAGTGCTACGCGGTTTTGTGTGGCTGTTTCTTTCAGGCCTCTAACGTTTCCTGTGCTGCTATAGATGGATGTTGGAGAGGGGAATAGTCTGCTCTGGGCGTTTCAGGTCACTGTCATTCACGTTGCATAACACTTCCATTTGAAACACTCATTTTCAATTGCTTATAATTTTCTGCAAGTTTGGGCTATGGAGATGAGCTTTTGTTACTGTGGTATCCAAGACTAAATTTCTGTAGCCTTTTAGTCAAACCACTTCAGTCAATTTTGTGTTCAAGATAGGTTTGTGTAAGGTCAAGAAAAATATCTGCTTACTAGAACAATTCTGAAGATGGAGTCTTGAAAATTGATATCTGGTAGGAGAATGGTCCTCAGTGAGGAGATTTTTTGTGGTGTCTGGAACAAACTGACATAGGCAAGTCCAAGGCCTTTGAAATTGCTGTGCATGTGCAAAGTGCAGGGAGAAAAGGTTGGTCTTACTCTGTTGTCTGGGTATGTGAAGGGACCAGGGTAGGTAATAAAGATGAATGGAGAGCCAGAGGGTGAAAAGCTGCAAATTTGCAGCTGCAGGATGCTGTAGCTGAAAATCCAGGAAGCAATTTTTCCAACACTGTATTTGTTTGCTTTATTCTCAGTAATTTTTTTTTGTTTGGGTGTTGGTTTTTTTTTTTGTTTTTTTTTGTTTTTTTTGTTGTTGTTGTTGTTGTTGGGTTTGTTTGGTGAAGGTTTTTTATTTTTGTCTTTTTTTTTTTTTTTTTTCAATTACCAAATTCACAGCTGGCTCTTTTGACCTGCCTCCACAAATATTTGTGATAGCATCTCTGGGCTTTTGTCCCAGAGATGGAGGGAAGGGGGAAGGAAAGGGGGGAGGAATGGGAGAGGAAAGACCTTTCCCCTTCAGAGAGGGTACATCTACCCTTCCCATATGCAGTCTCAGCTCTTGTGTTCTGTGGCAAAGTGTGACTTTAGGATTACTTTACACCTCTCTGAGTGGCAGGGCTGTTTTGGGCAGGGTAGGGCTGGGTGGAGGCATGGCAAAGCAGGAGGCTGCCCAGAACATCATCCTGCCAGAGGTGCCCTGTGCTCTCCCTGCAGCACAGCCCAGGGAAGACAAAGGAGCAGCAGCACTGCTGGTGCTGAGGGACACCCTGGGGTCCCTGGGGTCATGTCTGGGTTGGTTTTGCCTTTCAATTAATGGAAGCCTTCTGCTCCAGACCCAGAGATGGCAAAAGATGCAAGAAACCCGCTCTGTGACCCTGTCCCTGCTGTGCCTCTCCCTTCCCAGGACAGGTACACCCATCTCTCTCCACTGCCAGTGATGTTGTTTGGCTGAACCTGTCAGAGAGCCCCGAGCTGGCTTTGCTGACCCACCAGAGAGACTGCAGCAGTCCCACAGCTGCCTCCCCCAGATTTCCTCATTGTATCCCAACAGGAGTGAAGGGCAGGCAGGAAGATGTTTTGACTTGGAAGCAGGTAGGAGTATAAATTCAGGAAAGGAGGGGGCAAAGAGTGCTGCTGAGCTCAGGCTGCTCTTTGCTGCTGATCAGCCCACCTGAGCACAGAGCTGCCTCCCCCAGGCTGGTGGGCAATCTCTGCTCACACCTGCACAGCACAAGTACAAGTGCTGGTGTATTTTTATCAGCTGCTATTTAGCTTGAAGAACGAGCAGTGTGAACCCAGCAGCACGGGTGATAGGCAGTGCAAGTCCTTAGAGGGTTTGCATTCGAGCTGGGCCACTCTGCCTGCTCCTCCCACTCCAGCTCCTGGAATGACCTGTGCAAATGGGAGAGAAGAGGAAAATTGCACCCAGGCCAAATGAAAGAAAATGACAGCTGTTTGCCCGGTATTTCCAGGGCCTCAGTAAGAGCTGCCTGTGTTGGTTTAACTTTTGGCTGGTTTTCCTGGAAGCTGCTCATTTGCCCCTGGAGAAAATGACAATGGCAAAAGTGAAGCTCTGAGCAATGGCAGCTGCTTCTTCCCAGCTGTACCTCAGGTCAGGATGGCTTGCTGAAAGCACTGGGGTTATAAACTGGGTGCCCTGAATGCTTGAAGCCCCTCTAGCTTTGCTCACAGTGGTAGGAAAAGGATTTCTTTAGGGCTGCTTTCTATACTGACTCCTGGACCTGCATTCTTGCTGAAAACACAAGTACTAGGTCCAGTTTTTTCCAGGTGCAAATAACAGTGATCCTGCTCAAAAATACACTGCAAGTGTAAGCAAGAAAGAAAACAGTCCCTGAATATTCACCTGAGCTCCCCTCCTCTCTGTAAATATGCAGCCAGGCTTGCCCTGCCAACAGGAAGAGAGGTGCAGGTGCACCCTGTGCTCTGGAGCCTGTTCTTGCCCTGCATTTTGTGGAGGAATTTATGAAATGGAGTCACCCTGATGGCAGAAGGCCAAAGGAGGCAATACCTGTTTCTTTTCCTTTGTTTGCCAGTTCCCCTCGAGCGAGATCCCACATCTCCTGCTCCTCTCCCTTCTCGCCAGTCGCTTCCCCCTCCTCTGAGCTGATCCTGTAGCAAAGTGACTCAATCATGCTATTTGTGGCACAACAGTAATTTTTTTCCAGCAGGCTCTGATGTCAGAGAGCAGGGAAGGATGACATCCTGGCAGGCCTTGCCTTCAGCAAGCATTCCAGGGACCAGCAGGACCAGGTTCAATCCCTGGACCAGACCCCATGGTCCAAGTGAAGGCACACCCAAGTCATGAGCAGCTCCTGACTACTGTGAGAACAAGAGCAGACTCCAGATAACTTGTTTGCACGAGTAAATGAAGCCCTGTAATCCATTGTGAGAGCTGGGTGTCAGAAAAGCATATTCTTCTTGGTTTTGGTGGAATTAGCAAATTAATGGTTGAAGGAAGTGCAATCCAGCTCCTTCTCAGGGAAGCGTTCGATACAAAAGCTTACTCCGAAATTAATTCCCACTGGGCTCACATTAATAGCTGGTTGCCAGGTCTCCAACAAAAGGAATGAATAAACAGCAGCAGCGATGCTGGGATGCAGGACTGGTGTTTCCTACCCCCTTCCCCAAGCAGTTACCAGATGGCACAAACCCCAGAAGGCCAAACAGAGCCAGCCCAGAGGGCAGTCCCAGCTCTGCTAGCACCGGTGGGATGGGAGGATGCAGGAGGTGTAACCTGGCACATGGTGCCTGCACTCACCTGGCCCCTGAACACCTTGCTGGAGTGAGAAGTGCCTGTGGAGCACAGGAGGGATGCTCACCCAGGGCGTGAAACAGGGGAGTGCTAAAATGATGTGGAAATCCTGCAACAGAATGGGAGGCTTGAAGGTGCTACCCACAAAGACAAAGCTGCTGGGTGGTGGAGGGAGGTGGATAAAACAGTGAGGAAAATCTGGATAGCACTGGCTGAATTTTATATATTTTTCCACCTAGTGGCTTTTTAAAATTTATTTTTTGGTCAGGAATTGCATCGGTTCCATCAAATTTTGAACAAAAAATTAGGGAGAATTTTTTTCATTTAAGAAAAACCATGCCAGTGCATGTTGGTGTTTCACTTAGGTCAATATTTCTCTCACTCTTACAACCACCATTGATGTTTGAGTAACAGAATTGCCAAGGCTTTCTCTGGACCTCCAGACACTGTCTGGAGCCCTGCCCCAATATTCAATAAGCTTTACATTATCACACATTCAAGCTATATATTGGTCTGGGATTTTTATTTCCTTGCCCAGACCATGCAGCATCCATTTGGTAGTGAAACAAGTCGACACTTGTCAAGTGCTGATGTCACCAGCATTTTGCTGTCTGTTTTCAGAGAGCTAAAAATAGCAACCACTGTAACAATGCTGAAATTCTCATGTGGTAATTGGGAAATCATATTTGAAACCAGCTTTAAAGCATCCTTCAGGGAAATCTTGAAGCTGTTTGGTGTCATTCTAATTAGAGGCAGAACTGGATTTTTGGCAAAGCAGGTGATTTGAGGAGGCCAGGCTGCCTGCCTGGGCTGGTGGGGAATCTGGGATGTTGGGAAGCAGGCAGGGAGCAGCGTGGACGATGCCTGGCTGGCAAAGAGCCCAAGCAGTGTAAACTGAGCAACTGGAAAACTGCAGAGGAATTTGATGGTGGAGGCTGAATCCTGTGCGGAGGGAAGGAGGGATCTCCTCCTGTGAAGGTGGGGGTGGTGCTGGGGAACGTGTGCATGTGTGAGGTGGGGGTTTTTATTCCTGGCCCTGGTGATGTAACGAGGTGTGCTTGAGGGATGAGTCAGTTCAGGAGCACGCAGAGGTGCCAAGGCACCGTGGGGTGCCGAGCCCAAGGAATGCTCTCCCGGGGAGGCAGAACCCTCTCATCAGTGAAAAAAAATCCCTTAAAGCAAGAGGGAGAGAATTGCCATGCTTCAAACACCTCAAAACGTTTTAAGCTGAGAGATGCTGGGTGTATCTGTTCTGGCAGCACCTCATTTCTGCCCTCCATGGTGACTTCTCACCAGTCAGCTGCTCCTGGGGCCACCAGCCCTCTCACTGCTGACCCACGTGGGGACCAGACCTCGCTGCTGGGCAAGGCAGCAGCCAGGACATCCCTTCTGGCTCACCTGGCATTGTGGAGCAGAGCAGGGTGATGTCAGACATCCCACCTGCTGGCCCATCCAGCCTTGGGGACACTGTCACACTGTCACAGCCCCCTGTGCCACCCTAGAGCCTGCCCTGCCTGCTCCCCGTGGCTGGGGCTCCTCTTGGGGGCTTCTCCACAGCCCCCATGCCCAATCTGGCCCTTGATCAGGATCCAGCCCTGGCAGTGTTGCATTCCCCACATCCCAGCCTGAGGTCATTTAGCTCTCCAGCCAGTAGGAGAGCTAAAAAGGTTTCTTTTGCTCCTGTCTCACTTGGAGCTGCTGTCTGCAGCCATATCCTTGTTTTCTCCATGGGTATTCGTTGA